TATAACCTGTGCAGAGAAAGAAGAGGAGCCAGTGTTTCCCCTCCTTGGAATCAAGAGACCAGGGCAAGACCAGAACCTGAACATCAGAACCCCTCCAGAAGCAAGGGGTCTGTTGACCAGGAAGATCTGGTGTTGAAATCCATCTTACCATGCCTTACCATAAATGACCTGGGTTCCAGCCCCCCAATGAAAACTTCACCAGCACTTCCATATGCCAACCTGGCCTACCAAATTCATAAAACCTGCCCCAGAATCCAAAATGGGGGACAGATTTGAGTTTTGCCTCCTGTCTCCTTACAACAAAGCTTCACAATCAAAGCTTTCTTTCCTCAAAAGCCAATGCCATAACATTGGCTTCTACGCAAGGAGATGGCCTTCTGATGACAATCTGCAGAGGGCTAGGGGTAGATATTCCTGACCCCACTCTCTGTATACCTTATGATCTTCCATCCCTGCAGCCCCCTGGCCACGGTCTGGCACATGGTAGTCATTCAGTTAAATGTTTGCGAAGTGAATGAATGAATCAAAAGTCAAGCCAAGGGGTCAGTGTTGTGGTGTAGCAGGTAAAGCCACCGTCCATTTTGCCAACATCCCATCAGGGACAGTTGTGAGTCCCAGCTGCTCCACTTCCCATCCAGCTCCCTGCGAATGGCCTGGGAAAAAGCAGCGGAGGATGGCCTAACTTTTGGGCCACTGCTACCCATGTGGGACACTCAAATGAAGCTCCTGGATCCTGTCTTTCGCTTGGCCCAGCCCTGGTGATTGCAGCCATCTAGGGAGTGAACCAGCAGATGGAAAAGCTTGTGTTATCTATGTAACTCTGACTTGAAAATAAATCTTAAAAAAAAAAAAGTCAAGCCCAAAGAAATCATATCAAAATCCTTAACTCTCTCCTACATCAAATCCCCAAAATTTTAAAGTTCAAGGTAGTCACATAATATGGTCTTTGACCCAAGCTTGGTCCATGGGATGACTTATGTTAAAGAACTGATGCTGGGGGCCGATGCTGTGGCACAGCAGGTTAAAGCCCCAGCCTTGCAACCCCAGCATCCCATATGGGCGCTGGTTTGAGTCCCGGCTGCTCTTCTTCCCATCCAGGTCTCTGCTATGGCCTAGGAAAGCAGTGGAAGATGGCCCAAGTCCTTGGGCCCCTGCGCCCACATGGGAGACCTGGAAGAAGCTCCTGGCTCCTGGCTTCAGCTGAGCTCAGCTCTGGCCATTGCAACCAATTGGGGGAATGAACCAGCGGATGGAAGACCTCTCTCTCTGGCTCTACTTCTCTTTGTAACTGTCTTTCAAATAAATAAAATAATTCTAAAAAAAAAAAAAGGAACTGATGCTGAGTGCTAAGGCAAAAGTTCAAAGGAAAAAAAAACAATAAATCTTAAAATAATTTGAGATAAGAGAAAGACAAATCAAGCACAATGCTAAAACTCAACTGAGTGTTTCCTCAGTGCTACCAGGTTCATTTCTACTGGTTGTTTCTGCAGCCCAACCCCCTCCTCAGTAACTCTAGAACCCAGGGAAAAGAAGCTCTCTCCCCCCACCCCTGTAAACCATACGATCAACAGCGACTCCCAAACTTCAATGTACAAATGAATACTAACCACCTGCCGATCTTATCGAAATGTAGGTTCTGATAAATTACTTCTGGGGTGAGACCTGTTCACTCCATATTTCTGACAAGCTCCCAAGTGATGTTGTGCAGCTGGTCAGCTGGCCACACTTTTTGATTATCAGGAGCTTGAAGGACATTTCAGAGAATACATACTGCATGTAGTTTTAAGGGCAGAGTTAAGATGCCTCCTGTTCCCATATATCCTAGTTGTATAACCTTAGAGAAATAATTTTTCTGAAGTCCCTGAGCCTTCCTTTTTCAGCACAAACAACATGCCGAATACACAGCTAATAACAATAATAGCTAATATGTATTGTGTTCTTATTATGCACCACAAACTGTTTCATATTTACAAACTTATGAATAAGACTTAGGTTAGAAAATTTGTCCATAGGCATATTTGTAGGCATAGTACATGACAAACTGAGATCTGATTATAGGCAGTTTGACTCACACCACCTAGAGTATAGCAATACCTCTTCAGATAGCTCCCAGGGCCATTATGAAGATTAAGTAATAATCTGTACTTAACTTTTGTTGGCGTTCCAAGCCCTGATCTAAGCCTCCTCTGAGGCACACTAACCCCTTCATATTTATAACAGCCCCAGCATCAGAACCCCATCTTACAGGCTTTAACATAGGCCCAAGCAAGTCAAACAGTCAAAGCTCAGTGTCACAACCAGAACTGGAAGCCAGGCAGTGTAACTGCAGAGCCCGGCCATCTTTCTCCAGGAGAGGAAAGAAACGCGGGGCTCTGCGGGAGCGCTCTGGGGTCGGCGCGCACCTGCGCCCACTCAGGACAGTTTGCCCGCTCTGCTTAATACAAAAGATAACCAATCTTCTTAGCTTTATGTAAATCTGTGGGATATGTCTTTTTCAGTCCACACCCAGAACCCTGAGAGCGGATTATGACTCTGGTGAAACAATTTGACCCCCTAGAAGCATGATTAGTTAAATATCTTTACAACAGATTTACACTAAAATCGTTAACACCTAGTTGTTCCAGAACCCACATCATCTGCCCCCCATACACATTTGCACGAGCCCGCGCCCCATCCCGGACCGCCTCTCTGACCACCCCTCTGCCTCGCTGCATCCTGGGAGATGCAGTCCCATTCAGGCTCCAGAATTTGTAGTACAGGCTCCTAGCGCCAGTTTACCTGCATCCAGACACGAGCAAAAAGGGGCCGCCTCTAATTCCATCAGCTCTCCAACACCGCCCTCTGCTGGCCCGTTGTCCGTCGTGGGAATGGAGCCGGTTCCGGGTGCTCCGGAAGTGAACCTTTCTCTTCCGGGTTGAGCGTCCGGGCGGACACACGTGGTTGCTGTGCCGGTTTGTGGGTCGGCAGTCGTGAGAGAAGTCGCTTCAACTGTGGCCCCCAAAGTGACTAAGCCGAGCCGGACCCATGGAGGGCCACAGCGTGGAGGAGCTGCTGGCAAAGGCGGAGAAGGACGAGGCAGAGAAGCTGCAGCGCATCACGGTGCACAAGGAGCTGGAGCTGGAGTTTGACCTGGGCAATCTACTGGCTTCCGACCGGAACCCCCCAACGGGACTGCGGCGGGCGGGACCCGCTCCGGAGGCCGAGCTGCGGGCCCTGGCGCGGGACAACACGCAGCTGCTCATTAACCAGCTGTGGCAGCTGCCGACGGAACGCGTGGAAGAGGCGCTGGTGGCGCGGCTGCCCGAGCCCACCACCCGCCTGCCGCGGGAGAAGCCGGTGCCCCGGCCGCGGCCGCTTACGCGATGGCAGCAGTTCGCGCGCCTCAAGGGCATCCGTCCCAAGAAGAAGACCAACCTGGTTTGGGATGAGGTGAGCGGGCAGTGGCGGCGCCGCTGGGGCTATCAGCGCGCCCGGGACGACACCAAAGAATGGCTGATCGAGGTGCCCGGTGGCGCCGACCCAATGGAGGACCAGTTTGCAAAGCGCATTCAGGCCAAGAAGGAACGGGTGGCCAAGAACGAGCTGAATAGGCTGCGTAACTTGGCCCGCGCGCACAAGACCCAGCTGCCCAGCACGGCCGGCCTGCACCCTACGGGACACCAGAGTAAGGAGGAGCTGGGCCGCGCCATGCAAATAGCCAAGGTCTCCACCGCTTCTCTGGGGCGCTTCCAAGAGCGCCTCCCTAAAGAGAAGGCGCCCCGGGGCTCCGGCAAGAAGAGGAAGTTCCAACCCCTTTTCGGGGACTTTTCGGCTGAGAAAAAGAACCAGCTGGAGCTGCTTCGGGTCATGAACAGCAAGAAGCCCAAGCTGGATGTGACCAAGGCCACCAATAAGCAGATGAGGGAGGAGGACCAAGAGGAGGCCGCCAAGAAGAGGAAGATGAGCCAGAAGGGCAAGAGAAAGGGAGGCCGGCAGGGGTCTGGGGGCCAGCGGAAGGGGGGCCCGCGCAGCCACGGGGGGAAGCGGAAAGGGGGCTCGGGAAGCAAGATGAATTCCGGGCCGCCGGGCTTGGGCGGCAAGAGGCGAGGAGGGGGAGGAGGGGGACAGCGCCCAGGAGGAAAGAGGCGGAAGTAGCAGTTTCACCCTGGGACCCGAACTGTAAACCAAGACCTGCACGTGCCAAATGTTAACATCCAGGGACCATAGGCGGGGGCGGGGGAGGCGGCTGCTGCCTTCCGAGAGCTTGAGGCTGACGGGACGGGATTGCCCTCCCCTCGAGAGCCTGTAAGTTGTCAGTTCTACCGGGTTGATGTTTTCCCCACACCTGAGATTGGCTGGAGATTAAGGATGTGCCAGAGGACGTTAAGAATTAGGGAAACAATGTGTTGATGAAAACTGGGAATGAGTTCTGACAGAGTCATCTTTATAACTTTGGATATGGGGTGAGGGAGAGCCGGCCACACTTCCCAACCTTAACAGATTGATTTATACATTTCTGCATTATTTTTATAACAAGTATGTAGATTTATCAGCAGTGGGGGAGGTTACAGATATTTTCAGAACTGGGTTTACAAGAAACAGATGTAAAGGTTATTTAATAAAGTGTAACTGTATCCAGTGTTGACTTTAACTTTTTTTGACTATTGTGGTAAATGTATAAGGCCAGCAACCTGCATTCCTAGTGTTTTCACTTTCTGAAAACACAAAGCAGTTAAATTATAATGGTTTCAGCAAAGCCACTTTTATTAGAAAAATAACTTCTTTTGGAATCAAATTCAATATTAATAATGTAGTACAATTGGTAGCTGCTTTAAGAAACATTTCATGCTTTACAGCACTGAAAACATTGCTGTAACTCAAGAATTTAAATACCAACAAATCTCATTAATTGAAAAATACTTCAATGTTTCTCAACGTTTGTGAATCTACCCTGCTTTTTCCCACTGGGGAAGCCAGTGGCCCACAGAGTCGTCCTTAATTGGAACGGTGCTTACACTGACCTGGGCTGGGTTGTTTAGCAGGTGAAACGTTGAAAGCTGTCTTGGGTCTCTTCCCTGTCCCATCAGTTTCTTCCAGCTTGATCTCGGTCAGCTCCTCCGTGTGTAAAGATAAATACTACATTTCCTGAGAACTCTGCCACAGTGCTGGAAGCAATCCAACTGTTTTTGGTCTGACAATGGATAAGAGGCGTTTTGTCTTTTCTTTCTGCTTCATTGGTGTAAGGTTACTTTTAGGAATTGCTATGAAAGAAAAGACTAATTCACACTCCATAGTAATAATTTACAGAAGGTGCAAACATGCAGTTGTTACTGTCTGTATACTTTGCACTGGATAGTTAACTCCCACTGAGACTCAGTTGATTGGGCACTGCCAAGCCTTCCCACCCCCGAGTACAGTGGGGTCATGGCAGGTTTTAACTACTTGCCTTTCACAGCGCGTTTAAAAATCTGGTGAGTTCCCCCCCCCCCCCTTTTTTTTTCTGGAGTTTTTTTTTTTGGTTTTTGTTATTAGGCCTTGATTCAAACAGTGGGCCCTGTGACAAAAGGTCCCTCTGGCTTTTGTCAGATCCTTGTTTACAGTTAGAACGTTTGAATGCAGTGTCTTGATAATTTAAAAGCCTGTGAGTGGGAAAATACCCTTCCTGGCCTTCCCGCGGCCCCAACAAGTGGGAGGTGAGGGGTTTGGAGTCCAGGGAGACCAGCAGTGCCCAAGACCGGCGGAGCGGTTACCTGCCAGCGCAGTTTCAGAGGTAGGCGGCGAGGTGCAGCTGGGGACAGTGGTTCCGGTTCGGACTCGCGGGAGGGTGGTCCTGAGCCACTGCGGGTTAAAGCTGGGGCTGGTGACCTTGCAGAGGGGGTGGGAGGAGGGCGGAGGCTTGGATTGGCCGACGGCGGGAGGTGGAGCTGGGACCTGCGAGGAAGACCGCGCAGCCATGGCCGCCGCCCGGGCCCGGGTCGCGCACTTGCTGAGGCAACTGCAGCGCGCAGCGTGAGTTGGGGGGCAGCGGGCGGGCAGGGGCCGGAGGACGCTGCCGTGTCTACGCGGGCCCCCGGGCGTGAGCCGCCCGGGCCAGCGCTGCTTCCCTGCTTTCCACTGCGGGGAAAGGGGGTACCGCAGAGAGTGCTGAGGCGGTGCGCCAGGCAACCTTGCAGGGCTAGGAGAGGCAGGTCTTACCCTGCCTGTCACCGTTAAGGAAACAGTCCCTGGTCCCACGCAGTGGCCAAGACAGACTCGTGTGTCCAGTCAACACATTTATCGAGTGTACATTATGTGCCAGAAGCTGCTCTCGGATCCACGGCATGTAGCGATGAAGGGCTCAGGGGAGAAACAGAGGTGCAAACGGGTAGCATGGGCCTGTGCAGAAAGCAGCAGACAGGTGTAGATGGGAAGAAATGCCATAGATTTGCATGGCACCTACGGGGGAGTCAGGATACTTGACTCTTCCACCCAGGTACATAGCAGTCGCCTGATCAGTACTGGAGTGAGGGCACAAGTCAACCTGGGACATTATGGGAAACTGAGCTGACAGGTGCAGGGAGGTGGGGGAAAGAGGCACTTAGGCATTTCAGGCAGAGACAAGACCAGCACCGGGATGTGAAAGGTGCCCTTCCTGGATCTGAAAGTAGTCAGAACTTCCTTTCATAGAGTATGGTGAGGCTGGAGAAGACATATGGTCCAAGATCATAAACAAGACCCACTGGGCATTTGCCCATGTGCTGCCCACACACCGTCCACTTGTTCTACATGTGCTATTAAGGTTAGTAACCTTAGCCCTTACAGCAACGCTATGCCATACTGCATTGTCCTGCTGTCTCAGAGACAAAGAAAGGCATGAGAATAATCTGTCCAGTGTCAGACAGCTAAGCAAATGGCATAGCCGTAATCTGAACCCCGATACTCTGGCTTTGCGGTCCTCGTTCTTTGGCCTGTGTCGAGGACTTTGAGTAGTACCCTTAGATGATCTAAGGGAAAGCTGTTGAAGTGATACCCCTCCCTGGGAAACGCTGATACCTTGAGAGTTTCCATGAGAAAAGAATTCCATGGTCAAGTAAGCTTGGGAAACTGTCCCAATACTGCCCTCTTGAGAGGATAGGTACACATGAGCATTTGAAGGGCTCTGAGAAATCCTGCAGAAAAGGAAAGAAAAACGTGCAGCTCTGCTTAGATTGCTGGTTTGAGACCTGTCCTCATAGAAGTCTTGCGAGGCACAGTGCTGATGATCACACAGAAAGGGGTGTCCACCTAGGGCCTTGGGGCTCAGAGAAGAGTGCCCTGCAGGACTGATGAAAGGAACAAAAGTTACCCAGAAGAAGAGGGGAGGACAGTATGTTCCAGGCACAGGAAACAACAAGCTCTGGGTTTTGGAAGAGGCTGAGGGAGAAACCAGAAATGAAGAAAGATGGTGGCTCATTCAAGAAAAAGAACAGTGCATTTTCCAGGAGCTCAAACCCAGAGGTGGAGCAGGATGCAGCCAAGTGCAGAGGTCAGCAGGGACAGGGGGCAGCTCTGAACACTTAGGAGCTGTGGGAGCCGATTGGAACTGGGAGTGACATCACTAGAAATACGCCCCCGGCCACAGCATGGGGAATAGAGGCAGCAAAGCCCGATCCGTGGGAAGCCAGTTAGGACCTTGCTAATAACCCAGATGAAAAATGACACTGGGACCCGGAGAGTGACCAGGGCTGGGAAGAGAGGGTAGATTGGAGTGGAGTAACTCTTCCAGCCTTGATGAGTGGTAGGCTCCAGAGGGCTGCAAGGCAGCCAGGCAGAGCCCCAGCACACACAGGACAGGTGCGGCCCCCGAGAAAGCGACCGGGGCCAGGGACACAAACCACAGGTCAGAAGGATCAGAAAGGAGATGAGATAGCTTCAGAGCTTGGGGTGAAGAAAAAAACAGGCGGTAGGGGAGGAAGCATGTGCTCCTAGGGGCATTCTTGCGCATTTCTCTTGCCTTTGCATCTGTTTTCTTGTCCTTGGAGCGCTCCAGGCTGCGAATGCAAAGGCTAGGGGTGGAGCTGCAGCCCGCGGGTCGGCCGGGACCGCCAGGTGGCGGCCCGGAGCTGTGGGAGCGCTCGCTCGCCCAGCTCGGCTCGGCCTCCCCAACTCCCAGAATTTTTGAGAGCTTGACCGCCGTGGAGATCCACCCTTTTCCTTCCTCCCCCACCTCCGTCCGCGGATGTTTTCGTTCCATATTTGAATTTTGGCGGGGTGGAGAGGAAGAGGAGGTCGTGCACTTAACTAGCCGCTGAGGGGCTTTTCCCTAGGACCTGGGCCTCTGGGCCACTAAGAAAGAAACGTCAAACCCAGCAGGAGAAAGAGAAGCCAGAGAAAGGGCAGCCCTCGCGGCGGGAGACGACCGGGACAGGGAAGGGAAGGGAAGGTTCCCAAAGGGAGGACGCGGGAAAGCGGTAGAGAAGCCAACAGAGACGGGAAGACGGGGCGGGGCTCCGCGGGGCAGCAGGTGGCTGGCGTGAGCGCACAGCTTGGAGACGCGAAGGTCGCGACCAAGGAGGCCGCGGGGTCCCGGCAGGGCCTCCCGCAGGCCCGGGTCCACAGCTGGTTTTTAGAGAAACTCCTTGAAGACTTAGAAGGATACAAGGACCGTCCCAACGTGGGGAGGTGTGGAGTAGGGGAGGTCAGCGAATCAGGTTAACCTTGGGATCAGTTTGGTCAAAGCTCCTGCCCTTTTAAGAGACCAGGGACCCCCATCTTCAGCGTGCTTGTACACCCCCGCCAGAAGCGGATCTCGGCTGCTTGGTGACGTTCTGTTGCCAGTGTGTTCGTGCAAGGATGACCCTGGAAAGTTCTGGAAGCACTCTGGGTCAGCTTCCGTTCCCTTGCGGTTTCTGGGGGTTTCTATGGTACAGTGCCTGCCGGTAAGCACCAGCTGGAGGACAACCTAGGGGTAGGATGCAGTGTGTGTTTAAGCCTTCTCTTCGCCTTCCAGTTTCACTTAATATCTTTCTTTTTTTCCTTTTTCCTAGATGCCAGTGCCCAACCCATTCTCATACTTACTCCCAAGGTAATAATAATACATGGTGTGTTTGGATGCCAGCCACAAGCTTGGCTCCCACACTTAGCATTTATGATGCGTTTTGCCAAAGGGGAAAGCAAAAATGGTCAGGGTATGTAAGAGGAAGGTTGATGAGGAGAGTTACCTTTTCACTATGAAGCTGGAAACGTGTAGCTCTAACAGTACAGTATTAACTGAATGTGTGCTACTGAGTGCGTGCTTGGCTCAAATATATATTTAGTAGCATTTACAATGCTTTTTCTATTTAATATAAGTAGAATTATTGGCCAAAGTCAAGAATTCACAGATAGGATTTTAAGAGTGGCTGAGGTCATCAAACAGAATTAATCAGAATGAGCTCTAAGACATCTCTGAAAGAAAGCATAGGGGCTGGCACTGTGGTGCAGAGGGGAAAGCTGCCGCCTACAACACGAGCATCCCATATGGGTGCTGGTTCCAGTCCTGGCTGCTCCACTCCTGATCCAGCTCCTTGATAATGCACCCGGGAAAGCAGCAGAAGATGGCCCAAGTACTTGGGCCCTTGCCACCCACACAGGAAACTTGAATGGAGTTCAAGGCTCCTGGCTCCTGGCTCCTGCCTGGCCCAGCCCTGGCCTCAGCTGTTGCAGCCATCTGAGGAGTGAACCAGCAGATGGAAGATCTCTCTCTGTCCCTCCCTCTCTCGCCCTCTGTAACTCTGCCTTTCAAATAAATTTTTTTAAAAGACAAGGTGATTACTAGAAGAGAGAAATTCTCTGATTCTTAGGTAGCATTCTATTTTTTAATAATTAAAAATAGTGACAAAGTTTTGAGTTCCTGCACACATCATTCATTCTCATACTCCATTGTGCACAGAGCAACAGGAAGCTCATTGTAGTTTCATTGTGTCCTCAGAATGTCACATGAATTACTGGCACAAAAAGAGATTTTGCCTCTTGAGAAGAAAAGGCCAAATCTACACAGCAAGGCAGAAGATGGAAAGGGTGCCAACCATACAGGGTCCTAAGCAGAATCCCAAGGGAAGCAGAGAGTAGCTAACCGAGGGCTTTCCCTGCTCCACACTCACCCTTCATTACCCACCCAGTCATCATCTACCAGGCAGGGGATGCTGAGCCTTTAAGGCCTCCTGGAATATAGAAATATATGCAGAATTTTGTCTTCAGCTGGTTTTCACCAATCCTTAATGTGTTTCAATACGGAATCCATACTTTTTGGGGGAATACAATTAGCAATCTAGAGATGGATAATCTCACTGTTTTCTAGGATTCAGTTTTTTTGTTTGTTTGTTTGTTGTTGTTGTTTTGTTTTGTTTTCTGACAGGCAGAGTGGATAGTGAGAGAGAGAGACAGAGAGAAAGGTCTTCCTTTTGCTGTTGGTTCACCCTCCAATTGCTGCCATGGCTGGCGTGTTGCTGCTGGTGCACCGCGCTGATCCGAAGGCAGGAGCCAGGTGCTTCTCCTGGTCTCCCATGGGGTGCAGGGCCCAAGCACTTGGGCCGTCCTCCACTGCCTTCCCTGGCCACAGCAGAGAGCTGGCCTGGAAGAGGGGCAACCAGGACAGAATCCGGCGCCCCGACCAGGACTAGAACCCGGTGTGCTGGCGCCGCTAGGTGGAGGATTAGCCTATTGAGCTGCGGCGCCGGTCGGATCCAGTTTATGTCTAATATATTGCCTAAGCTTTACTAACAGAAATAATAGATTCTATCTTTAAAAAGTAAGGGAGTCCAAGAAATTTGAGTTTTGAGTATGGATACCTTTGCCCTCAGCAAACTTGTCTAGTTCTGACTTCTTACAAAAGTAGTGAAAATTATTCTGTAGGCCTTTTATATTTATCTCATGACTGAAGACTGATATAAATAACTAGATAAAAATTAGGATAAAATTCATTAATAGGACCCTCTTGTTGTTCCAGGATGACAGAAAATTGTTTTTACCATGATTAAAACCTCATACTTTGAAAATATATATAAATGTATAAAAATTTTATTGAATTTCACAAAGAAAGCTAAACTTTTTGTATATGTGTAAGCTTGAGAACTGAAGGTATCTTGCTGTAGCAAATTACCTCTATGAAAAAAATCTTATTTTAAATAAATTATCACAGTGGCTATAAGGTATGTAAACAGGAATTCAAATAATGAATATAGTAATAGCTGTACTTCTAACAATAACCCAACTCTAAATTCTATATAATTTTGATATATTATGTCTTAAAGATTTTTTAATTTTTTTGTTTTGCTTTGTTCTTTTTTGATTTTTCTATTTTTTTATTTTAATAGGAAAAATGTTTTCAATAACTTTTTCAAAGAACAGCATCAAGATAGCAATTTTTTATTTTTATTCTTTAATGTTTGTTCATTTTTATTTGAAAGGCAAATGATAGAGAGATCTTCTGTCCATGAGCTCACTCCCCAAATTCTACAACAACCAGGGGTGGGCCGAGTGGGAGCCAGGAGTCCTGAACTCCAAACCAGGTCTCCTACGTGAGTAGCAGGAACTCAAGTACTGGAGCCATCATCTGCTGCCTCCCAGGATGCACATTAGCAGGAAGCTGGATGAGAAGCAGAGTAGCCCAGACTTGACCCAGGCACTCACCTGCTGTGCCACAATGCCTGCAGGGTATTTTAAAATTATTTATTCATTTATATATTTGAAAGGCAGAGAAAAAGACAGAGAAAGCTCCATCCACAGATTTACTCCCCAAATGCCTGCAAAGGCCAGGGCTGGGCCAGGCCAAAGCTGGTAGCCTGGAACTCAATCTGGGTCTCCCAAGTGGGTGGCAGGGACCCAATGACTTGTGACGTCACTGCTGCCTCCCAAGGTACACATAAGCAGAAAGCTAGAATCAGGAGCAGAGCTGAGACTCCAATCCATACACTCTGATATGGGATGCAGATGTCCCAAACTGGAGTCTCAACTACTAGGCCAAATGCTCACCCCTTAAAACGCAGGTTTGAATTTTATGAATTTTGATGTACAACAATGAAACCTTGTTTTGGAAAAGTCTTCAAGGGAAATGTTGTGTTGACTGCTGTATTTTACTCTCAAATAACAATGGCAACTTGCTACCCACTAGCAATATTTTTGCTTTATTTCTAAGGCCTTCTCTGATGCCACTTTTTACATTTCTAGCTCCTGGACTCTCACCTTCTGGAAGAACAACTGATTATGCCTTTGAGGTAGATGTCATCAGTCTATTCTCCCTTTTATGAAAGCCTTTTAAGAAATTCAACTACAGTATCTTGCTAATGCGTTATTATTTTATTTCACATGTTATTACTTGATGTTCCACCATCTCTATTTGACCAGCCCTGTTCTGTAAGGTGTTAGGATGATGGAGTAATAGTCTTCTGAGAATGTGAGTAATGTCTAGAATACTGTGTTCCATTCAGCCATTAAAACAGCCAAACTCCCAGTTCTACAAACTCTCCAACGTAACTGTGAATGTTACACGATGAATCTTTAGTTTTCTAATTAGAACCACTCAAGAAGAGGTCAGACAAGTCTGTCTGAAGCAAAAGCAAAGGCACATTCAGTTCTGCTACGTTTACGTTTTATCATACTGTAATTGCAAAAGGACTTGTAATTGTTTGTTTAGGTCCCTGTGTCCTCCTGGCCCAGGAGTCCTAAACAGAAAGCTCAGCAGGGGCCTGCTAGTTAACCCACCAGTAGGCAGGCAGTCTAAGGAAGGCCAGTGCTGTGTTCACCAAGAGCTGCCCTGTGGGAGCGCAGTTCCAGTGTTGCCAGGTTATTCAAGAGATAGAAATCTGGACAGTCATATTCGATATTCCCTTATGTTTAATGATTATTAGCAAAGTTTTTAAAAATTAGGAAATTTAAGCATAACACGAATCAAACAAAAAGGCTTTGGGTCAAAAGTGACCCATTTCCATCAAAATAGGTCTTATCTTAGCTGTAACCTTTATGAGACCATGTTTCTGTTATTCAGAGTTACCAGAGCCTAACACAGAGCCTGGAACAGACATCCAGTAGTCTTGGCTGAGAGGGAGAATGGATGGATGGGTGGATGGATGGATGGGTGGGTGGAGGGATGGATGGGTGGATGGATGGATGGATGGAGACTAGATAGATGTATGGATAGATGGATAGGTGGATAAACAACTAAATGGGCAAAAAAATACAGAGACAACTACATTTAAAATCAGAAAGTAAGACATTTGACAGTTAATGTGTAAGTAGGGAAAGGTAGGCTCTTGAAGCTGAGGGAACAACTTAGAGTTGAGATGTGTTTGGAAAAAGATAACTCTGGTAGTGTCCCCCCCCCCCCACCCCGCTTATCCTTGGGGGATATGTTCCAAGCCTTCCAATAGATACCTAAAACTGTGGATAGTACCAAACTGTTTACATGCTATATTTTTTCCTATATATTCCTATATTTTTTCCTAAGCACCTATGGTAAAGATTAATTTATAAATTAGGCAGAGATAATATAAATAAGTAACAGATTAACAGTAATTTACCATAGATCCTTGCAATATTAGCATATAATTTTTTCTTTGTATATTAACACAAGAACTTTCACCTTCAAGGAAGCATTTTACAGCTTCTCTTTGATATATCCCAATTGTCAGCATCACTTTGGGGCCATTACTAAGTAAAATAAAGGTAAAGTGAGCATGAGCACTATAATACTGAGACTGTGAATCTGATAACCAAGATGGCTACTAAATAACTAACAGGCAGGTAGCATATACAGCAAAGATACGCTGGCAGAAGGATGTTTCACATCCCAAGCAGAATGGTGTGTAGTTTAAAACTGAGGAATTATTTATTTCTGTTGTGTTCCACTCAATATTTTAAGACCACAGTTGACAACAGGCAACTGAAGTAGAGGAACAAAAGAGAAGGGAGAGCTACTATAATTCCAATGTGACTGGAGCCAAGGTTTTCTTAAAGAAGTAAGGTGGGTGTGAGACCAGATGAAGACCATCCTAAGGAGCATATCCTTTATTCTCTAGACAGAGAGGAACCTTTTCAGATTTTCAGAAATGGAGTAGCCAACTCACTAATACCCATATACTTAGATATTTTATTTTATTTTTTTTTCCAGATGGCTGTTTCAAATATTAGATATGGAGCAGGAGTTACAAAGGAAGTTGGCATGGTAAGGTTTAGAGGTGCCTACAGTCTCCTGTTGTCAATGTTAAATACCTTTTAAACAAGTACTAACTGGCCACAACAGAATCTGTATTTTAATGTTAACCAATCAAGCCTAATTTATATATATACAATATACTTTTTCTTATTATAGGACCTACAAAATATGGGGGCCAAAAATGTTTGCTTGATGACAGACAAGAACCTCTCCCGGCTGCCTCCTGTCCAAGTAGCTATGGATTCCCTAGTAAAGAATGGCATCCACTTTCAGGTTTATGATAATGTGAGGGTGGAACCCACAGATGCAAGGTATTCTTGTATTATTGCTGTAACTTAATTTAGGCAGAAGCCAAAACATATCACTGTTGTTTCCACCTTGCCCTAGGATTTATTTAATGCCATGGCCATTTGTTTCTGGAAAAAAAAAAAAAGTGACATGATGATTTTCCTTTTTCCTTCCCCAAGCTTCATGGATGCTATTGAGTTTGCCAAAAAGGGAGCCTTTGATGCCTATGTGGCTGTAGGTGGCGGCTCCACCATGGACACCTGTAAAGCTGCTAATCTGTATGCATCCAGTCCAAACTCTGATTTTCTAGATTACGTCAATGCCCCCATTGGGAAGGGAAAGCCAGTGTGCGTGCCTCTGAAGCCTCTGATAGCAGGTAAAGACCATTTGCTTATTTGTTTTGCACTTGGCAAAAGGCCCTGGGAAAAATGTAAGCTAGTCTACACATGGTCTTCAAGAAGGTCATGGAAAAATGCACATTATGACTTTTGAGATTATTTTTTTTTTTTGTACCAACATAAACTTCTATTTTAATTCCATTTTCCCATGAATTTTTGGGAAGAAACCTTGTATTATGTTTCTGGAACATCTTGACTTGTCCAGACGTCTAATCAGACATAAACCCTGGGTTGGTGGGTTTGTCTCTTCACCCTTCTCAACTATGTCTCCTTTTATCAGCCACTGTGGAGTTTGCCATTTTCTTTCTGGTGTTAACTCCTTCCACATTATAGCTCTACTGCTGACCTTGACATTGTCTCTTTGTTGGGACGTGTGGCCAGCAGAGCCATGTCACTCTGAATGGCATCCGCTTCGTGCCTGCCCAGAGCACAGACCTGCAGTTCCAAATGGGAATAACCCATGTGTTATATGGGAACCTCATGGTTTTCAACTCCCCACATTTTTATGGCTGCTCATCTATTGCCATTTAAAGTTTTATAGCTAAAATGCATTACCGCTAACTAGGAAATATGTTCCATTTAAAGTTGTGTCCTCTGTCTTCCCCTTCTCTGGTCGTATTGTGCATTGTGCGTGAGCCTTGAGCTGAGGAGCAGCTTTGACCTGAATGAGGAACCAGCAGGGGGCGGCGTAATTGGGGCGTGGCAAATGGACCCCTGTGGTGAAACTGTGTCAGCGTCACACAGAGGGGTGATTAGTGAAGTTCAGAAACTTGACAGAGCTACAAAACCGCAGAGCCGCAAAGGCAGAGCGCCTCTGTGCTGGCTGCCAAGCACAAATAATGAAGTCTTTTAGAGACAGCAAATAGGACTTCGCTTACCAGAGGGGCGGAAGAGTGGCCTGTGACTGAGCCCCCAGCTGTAGCTGCCTAGGCTCTGGCGTTAGGGGCACCTAAGGTTTGCAGAGCTCCTGGCTCTCAGTCTGGACATTAGCAAGTCTGTGTGTCAGTGTGGGTATGGATATCACGCCTGCGTGTTAGCACAGACACACAGATCCCACACCTAGTAAACACACGTGCATGTTATTAATGTAGATAGACACTACACACTAAATGCAAATGTTCATACAGAAACCATACATGCTAAACATATCTATGTATGTCAGCATGGGAATGAACACCATGCATATATGTTAACACAGATGCAAAAGTCACCCATAAAAAGTACACATGCACATTAGCACAGACACAGACTAGGCATATTAAACTCATATCCACATTCATGCAGATATAGACATAGTACATGTTAAACATGCATGTGCATTAACACAAACATATGCTTCAACACACCTGTTAAACATGGGTATGCTGCAACAGATATAGACCTCATGCATGCATGTTAATGCAGTCACAGACTTCATCCATGCAAGGGTTACATGCATGGTAATAAACATACAGACATCAAGGGGAGCAGCAGGTTCAGCAAATCTTCCTTCTCTAACTTTGTTCCTTATTCTCACGATTGAATACTTAATACTGTATTGAAATTAATATTGTTTTGTTCAAGTTCCAACAACCTCAGGAACTGGGAGTGAGACTACTGGGGTTGCCATCTTTGACTATGAACACTTGAAAGTAAAAACTGGTAAGAATTTTGCCCAGAATTTTTTTTAATTTCCTCTCCAACCTTTTAACCCCATCTCCTTTTCTTTAACCCTAATACTTAAAAACCAAGGAGCCACAGAGTTAAGGAAAGGGCATATGTGTATAGACACTTTAATTATATTGAAAAACCTATGGGCCCAGTGCTGTAGCTTAGTAAGTTAAGCCTCTGCCTGCAGTGCTGGTATCCCATGTGGGTGCTAGTTCATGTCCTGGATGCTCCTCTTTCAATCCAGCTCTCTGTTTATGATCTAGGAAAGCAGTGGAAGATGGCCCCAGTGCTTGGACTCTGTACCCACATAGAAGACCTAGAGGAAGTTCCTGGCTCCTGGCTTCAATAGGCCTAGTTCCAGCCATTGTGGCCATCTGGGGAGTGAACCAACAGATAGAAGATCTCTCTTCTTTCTCTGTCTAACTCTGCCTCTCAAATAAATATATTTTTTAAAAAATATTTAATAATATAATAAACTTTCTGAGAATTACCTTCAAAAACCTATTGAAATGCCACATATCCTTATTCTTATTTTTTATTTCCGAGGCAAAGGCATAGAGACGGAAACAGACAGCTCCCATCTGCTGGTTCACTCCCCAAATTGCCACATCATCTGGGGCTGGGCCAGGGCAAAGCTTACAGCTAGAAACTCAATTCCAGACTCCCATGTGGCAGGAACTCAATTATTTGAGCCAGCACTAGTACCAAGGTCTGCATTAGCAGGCACAAAGAGTCAAGAGCTACAGCCAAGAATCACTTCTGGTAGTGTGCTCATAAATCAGTTCTCTGGAATTAATGACAAAGAAATGAGCCTTGATTTGTAGTGCTTGCCAGTCTCTGAGGTGTGAATACTCCCACCATGGCCAATGATGTCATCAGCCAGGAGTTAGGAGGAGACACGTGCACTTGGCTCTTGGAAACCAGTAGGCGCTAGCTCCAGCTCATCAGCAAAAAGCCCAGGTTTCTGACTCCATGTCTTTCTGCTGCTGCATGCTGTCCCCCACATGAGAATGAACCTTTTCACTCTTTTTTATTTTTTAGAATAATTTATTTGCCTAAGCTATTTAATTTTTTTAATGGTGCCCCTACCTTTAGCCTCAACTGAAAATCTGTATGTTTTAGGCATTGCTTCAAGAGCCATCAAACCCACACTGGGACTGGTTGACCCTCTGCACACCCTCCACATGCCTGGCCAAGTGGTTGCTAACAGTGGCTTCGATGTGCTTTGGTAGGTACTGGTGCCTGACAGAGGGGCTTTTTCAGGACCAGCTCTGTGGACAGCGTTTGATAGGCATTCACTGATTAGGCTCCACTATGCCCCTGGCTTTGGCTGACCTTATCCCATTTCCTAGGTGAAAACACTGAAGCGGTAAAGGTTGGTGACAAGGTGAGGTCTGGTGTGAGACATAACCCTGCTGTGGAGCAGGGACACAGACTGAAGGAACGCTCGACCAGGCACAGAGTGTCTCGGACCACCTGCCTTTCTGACCACACTGACTAGGGGGAAGGCGCAAGGCCGCTGTGCAGAGGACGGCAGGGAAGGGAGCAGGCACCCCAGGCGACCATTGGACAGGCACCGCGTCAGTGCTTCACGTGCATCATCGCTTCCCCAGTGCTCTGAGCCACGCAGACTTCATTTTTGAGAGGTTTAGTGGTGGGACCGGAACCTTACTGCTGTTCCCCTGGCCTTAGCTGTGCTTGCTGATGGCTCCCTAGTGAGGATTCCCACCCCAGACCTCACTCCTCAGCCCCACACCATTAGTTCCCGCAGCCTCCTGAGGGGCATCCTGCAGGCACCGCACATTCAGCGTGTCCCAAGCTCGCCTACTTCATCCGTTCATGCATGCGTACTTTTTCACGTTTCCACATCTCTGAAATCAGGACATAGCTCGAAATCTGTGATGTGGCAGCATGGGCTTTTTTAAATGGTCCATAATATAATTTAAATTGTATCTTAAATTTGATGCCATCTAGTAATTCTCTTGATCACTCCACACCTTGCAGCTTCTCCTCTCATCTCTTAGCTCAAGAAGTAGCAGGACTCACATGAACTTCTCCCTTCGCTCAGGCTCACACCCAGCCAGCAATCCTGTCTCTTGTCCTGCTTCAATCTCTCACCTTTCTGCTCCCTCATCCTGAGCAACACTGCCTGCCCCAGCTCCCCACTTGGACTATTGCAGAAGTCTCCTCATCGGTCTCCTTGCTTTCCATCACAGGGTTTTGTTTTTTTTTTTTTTTTAAATAAATCTCTTTTTTTTTTTTTTTTTTTTTGACAGAGTGGACAGTGAGAGAGAGAGACAGAGAGAAAGGTCTTCCTTTTTGCTGTTGGTTCACTCTCAAATGGCCGCCGCGGCCAGCGCACTGTAGCCGGCGCACCGCGCTGATCCAATGGCAGGAGCCAGGTGCTTCTCCTGGTCTCCCATGGGGTGCAGGGCCCAAGCACTTGGGCCATCCTCCACTGCACTCCCTGGCCACAGCAGAGAGCTGGCCTGGAAGAGGGGCAACCGGGACAGAATCCGGCGCCCCGACCGGGACTAGAACCCGGTGTGCTGGCGCCACAAGGCGGAGGATTAGCCTAGTGAGCCGCGGCACCGGCCTCCATCACAGGGTTTTTATATCTTCCCTCCACACTGGCTTCCAGACTGCAATATGAGCAACACAAACACACACACACAGACACACACACAGGCCTTACAAGTCTAGGGTTTTCCCTACCTACCATTTAAAGGCCAAACTGCTAAGGCCCTAGAGTGTCCCCAGTGCTCAGCTCTTTATCTGCTTGGAGAACTCATCTTTCAGATCCGCAGGAACATTTGCTCCCCCGTGGAGCCTGTGCTGGCCTCCCCACCCCCCACCCCCCGGCACAACTGACCACCTGTCCTTTGCTCTTTCCCCTTGGGTGGCCTGTACTTTGCTTCTGAGGCACTCGCTATTCACAGGCCTGTCTCCCCACTGCACGGTGAGCTGGGTGAGGACAGGGCTGTCTTATTCTCTGCTCTAACCCTGTTCCCTAACATGGGGACTGTCACATCATGTATATACTCAATTATCCCTGTTGAATGAAGTTCACATGAGCAGGGGTGACCGAGTTAGGATGCACCTCCAGACGGAGCCGCATCCACGGTCTGCTTCTCAACATCATGCTGCCTACCAAGAGACTGTAGGAAACTGTGTCCCACTTTCTTCAGCTCAGTTTTGTCAGGACTATGATGCGCTGTCCCCTAAAACTGGGAATTAAGGGACCTAAGATTACCTTCCCTGACTGTAACTGTATGACTCACAGACCCAAAGACTCACTGTCAATCAGAAGGTGGGAGTGGGCTTGGAAGGCAGAATGATGGGAATGGCTCTTCCGGGTACTATTTGAGAGAGAGGACACCTGGCCCCAGGAGTTTGTACCTAAAGCCTAGTGGTCTGTACTGGAGAGAGACACAGCCATGTTTCAACCTTAGAGGTAATTCTTCTTGTCAGGACACTATGGATCACCAATTTGCCATCACAGAAATCACCCTTAGGAGAGAAGGTGCTGAAAGACCAGGTGCAGGCCGGCGCCGCGGTTCACTAGGCTAATCCTCCGCCTTGCGGCGCCGGGACACAGGGTTCTAGTCCCAGTCGGGGCGCCAGATTCTGTCCCAGTTGCCCCTCTTCCAGGCCAGCTCTCTGCTGTGGCCAGGGAGTGCAGTGGAGGATGGCCTAAGTGCTTGGGCCCTGCACCCCATGGGAGACCAGGAGAAGTACCTGGCTCCTGCCATCGGATTGGCGCAGTGCGCTGGCCACAGCGCACCGGCGGCGGCCATTGGAGGGTGAACCAACGGCAAAGGAAGACCTTTCTCTCTGTCTTTCTCTCTCACTGTCCACTCTGCCTGTCAAAAAAAAAAAAGACCAGGTGTAGGGCTGGTGTTGTGGCATAGCAAGTAAAGCCACCACCTGCAAAACCGGCATCCCATATGGGTGCCAGTTTGAGTCCCAGCTGCTCCACCTCCCATCCAGTTCCATGCTAATGCACTTGGGAAAGCCATAGAAGACGGCCCAAGGGCTTGGGCCTCTGCACTCATGTGGGAGACCTGAAAGAGGCTCCTAGATCCTAGCTCTGGTCTGGCCCAGCCCTGGTTGTTGCATCCTCTCTCTCTCTCTCTCTTCTCCCCGCATCTCTCCCTCTATCTCTCTCTCTGTAACTTTTCCTTTCAAATAAATTAAATAAATCTTTAAAAAGAAAGAAAAAAGACTCAGGTGTCTTCCCCTCGGCAGTTACATTTGTTGCTGTTACTGTTACTGTCACTGTTGTAAATCAGTCATCTGACTCCCAAGTTTTAGTCATAGTTTCTGTGAGCTCAGCTCGCTGAGTCTGCCCTGGAGAAACAGATCTGTTCTTCAACCGGAATCTCCATGCATCCAGATGGGATGCAGGCAGAAGTCAGCCTCTGAACCCAGAGGGTTCACTGTCACTCTGTCCTCCCCATGTAGACTCCTCATTCCTGCATGGCTCACACATTCCCTGTGAAGAACCACAGAGCCCTTACACCCAGCTACTGACTATATTGTTTTTTTTTTTTTTAATTTCTAATGCCTAGTTCAAAAGAGAGTTATCTGCTTCTCACATGTATGGGAGAGTCCATCCTTCATTCTACGGCTGAAACTGAACTCCCGCAAAGCATAGTTCATGTTACCGGGTGTCCCAGTGCTCCATTGGTCTACACGGTTACATTCTCATCCTTTGCAGCTGAGTTAGGCTCCATAAAGGCAGCTCGCTGAAGCTTAGTTCTTAAAATGGCCAACCCTTAGTTTTCACAAAAGAAAAAAGAATCCGATCGTTTTTTGAGGCCAGGAATGAATAATAGTGAATACCAAGACCGACGATGTGTAGGCACTGTTCTGAGTATCTTATGTGTCAGCTCATTTAATTTTCACAGCTTCACCTTGAAGCAGTACTATTATGTATCCCTTTCTTTGAGTCTTGCCCCAGGTGGGTGGTGAGCAGGGCCAGTGCTGGAACTGACACGCAGGTAGCTGCCTGCAGACTCTGTGTTTTTCCCACCACACCTTACTCCTCATTTATGTCTAGTGTAACTATGACCCTTCTTTGGCAAAAAGGCAAAGCGCAAGATACAAAATGGTAAATATCTTCTATGAGGAAGTCTTTGTTTTTAAATCCAGTGCTTGCTTTCAGGTCTCAAATGTTTACTAATTCAGCATCTTTGTGATCTGTTTTCACTGGCAAACAGCCACATGGAATCTGACACACAGTGGTCAAAAACACCATAGTGCAATTAATGTCAACTTGGCTTTGTTAATTTCTTTTTTTTTTTTAAGATTTATTTATTTACTTGAAAGTCAGAGTTACATAGAGAGAGAGGAGAGGCAGAGAGAGAGAGAGGTCTTCCATCTGCTGGTTCACTCCCCAATTGGCCGCAATGGCCAGAACTGCACCAATTCGAAGCCAGGAGCCAGGAGCTTCTTCAGGGTCTCCCACACAGGTGCAGGGGCCCAAGCACTTGGGCCATCTTCCACTGCTTTCTCAGGCCACAGCAGTGAGCTAGACGGGAAGTGGAGCAGCCAGGACTCAAACCGACACCCAAATGGGATGCAGGCACTGTAGGCGGCAGCTTTACCCGCTGCACCACAGCACCACCCCCCTGTTAATTTCTATAGTAAGCAATGAATGACTGCTATAGACAGGGGACTGACTGGTAGAAGGTACTGACTGTGACCTTAGTGCTAAATGGCTTATCCACAGTGGAGTGAATGCGAGTGCACTCTGTCATCTGAATGGGGAAAGGAAAAAGACATCACTCTCAGTGTGTGTTCTTTGTTTCTCGTTAGCCATGCCCTGGAGTCATACACTGCCATTCCCTACCATATGCGGAGCCCCTGCCCTTCCAATCCCATCACACGGCCAGCGTACCAGGGCAGCAACCCAATCAGTGACCTTTGGGCAGTCCATGCACTGCGGATCGTCGCTAAATATCTGAAGAGGTAGGTCACCCTTCAGGGGTAGAAACAGGAGGGAAAACCACACTCTGCCCTCACATGAACCTGTCATGCATGATCCTGAGATATCCTGAGTACCTCTGCTCACCGGTCAAGGGACACCAGACTCTGAAGGGGTCACAGGGATGGGTGGTGGGTGAAATCAGGGCCCCTCTGTCTGAAAAGGCAAAGGCAGCAAGTGGGCAAAACAGGAACCCCTAATTTATGAAGAATGTGGATGCAATGAAGGGAAGTTTGTTCATCAGAGCCTCAAAACGTAAGCTAGAATAAGAGGCAATGCCCTTCGAAATTGGGCTACCCAAGACAGAAATGAGAACCACACAGGCAGCGGTCAGCTTTGTACATCCAGACCCTGCCAAAAAGCACACAGAAGTGACCCACTAAGCAAGCTCACATGAACTCCACTTAGGAAATAAAGGTGTAGGGACTGCTATACAGGGAGATAAAAAAGACAGAAAATATATAAAGATTCTTAAAAGCCTTTGAAGGATTTAGGACTAGAAACACATACACATGTATCTTCATGGCCATGGGCTATTGGAGAACAAATAGCCATAGGCTACTGAGATGGCAACGATGCCCCTAGAGATGAAAGCTGACATCTGCGACATTAAGACATAGGCAAAGTCAGACTCACTTTTCTACAAGGCGTTTTCATACCAAAAATGTTGCTGGAAAGTGCACATTTTGAAAAAACTCTCCATAGTTTTCCAACTTTTTTTGCATCAAAATGAACCTACCTTTTAATTCCAATTTTCCATGAATACTTTGAAGTACTCTCGTGTTTACATATAATAGAGGGAGACCACATGGGCAGGTAGGTCAACACATGGACACAGTGCCTTCTGTCACCTTGAGCCCAAAGCTCTTCTGGGATAAGGCGACTTAGAGATGCATTTTGCAGTCGAACAAGGGGATGGGACAGGCAACTCTTTCGGGATCATGGGATACCTCCTAGGAGGCAGAGCATCGTGTGACTTGGCAAAAGCTATCAACCTAAAAAACAGATTCTCCAGAGATTCGTTAGTTTGGGGGGAAGTAAACATGGCAATGGGAATACACGTGCTACAGTACACTATGTGCTTATTTGGGGGGTTCAGGCAAAGGGAAGCTTTTGTAGGCAAAATGGGGAGAATTATGTAAAGTATTTTGAAACAACAATCCTTGGCTACAGGGACCAGTCACAAGGGTGCTGTCAGCCCAAGGGTGAACAGGAAGTTGCTGGAAAGACACCCTCACAGAAGCATTTTCCGCATAAGGTTCTGTTGGTCTCAGTGCAAGGTTGTGGTTCTGGCAGAGTCTGACATGACATTCTCCCAGTCAGGCATTCACCTGAGATCCCCTCCTTCATACCCCCCAGTATAATGTATTCTATTTTTTGTCAAAACTTGACACAAGTGACTCCATTTAGATTCGATATTTCACAGAGTGGAATGGGGACCTTGTCTGACAGGGACAGAATGCTTGGCACAGCTACATGGGAGGTAAGCACATGAGATGGACAGAAGGAAGTCTGAAAAAAAAAAACCATCATCTGCCACTCCACCTTGTTATTTAGAGAATAGGAACTAATATGGGGCTTGGGGAAGAAGGCACAAATTCCTATCCATCTCAAATGAGAGGAGAAAAAAAGCCTGTGGTACCTTTGTGTCATAACAGATACTCTTACTCAAGGTAAAATCTCAAGACATCAAGTAGAAGTGGGTTGGCTCCACCATTTTCAGACTTCCTGCCTGGGGCAGGGTTTCCAAGCAGTGTGTGCAGGAAGTCTGAGCTGAACCTCAAAAGGGCTTTTGAGAATTTGCTTGTCCAAAGTGACACTGAGGACACACAGAGCAAGCAAAGGTTCGCCCTGCACTAACATCCCCCTTCCTCAATATTAGAGTAGGTGTGCAGTTTCTGTAGCTTCCGAAAGAGGCCTCCAGTGGCTCTGGTTCGGGGGCAGTCACAGAAAGATGGCTGGGTGGGCTGGCTTTGTCCCGCAGGCTCGAGTCAGCCCTTCTTGCCCTGTGCACTCTGAGAATCCATTCACGGCAGCCATCAAGGTCATTGACAAATGAAGAAGAAGAATGAGTTCAGGGCACTTCCTAGACCAGCTCTTACGACCCAAGGGTCAGGGCTTTGCCTCTCACACACTTGCATATCACATGAGCAGCCTGACAGCGCATTTATTATGCCTTTGCTGAAACCGTGGATGAGAAAATATATTTCCCTTCAGTTCTCATTTAGAAGACAAGACGTCGTTTGGATAACTTCCCTGATTTTTCTTCCTGCCTGGTAGCGTTTCTTTTTAAATTTTTTCCAGATCTTTCCCTAAGGCAGCTCTTTATTCAGTAAGAAATGCCAGGGTTGATGTGTTATTGTTAGGTATTTATATCATTCACAGGGCTGTCAGAAATCCTGATGATATTGAAGCAAGGTCTAATATGCACTTGGCAAGCACTTTTGCTGGCATTGGATTTGGAAATGCTGGTGTTCATTTGTGGTGAGCAAATTTGAGATTTTATTTCTTTCCTCAAGGTATTGCTGTCGGTTTTTAATGTTTATAATTCAAAACGGGTGGTGAAATTTAAATATTTTATAGAAGGAAGAAATTTAACTTAAGTCATTAAATGTTTTCTTAATTCAAATGTGGCTTATTGGGTCATGGGTTTTTTAAATAACAGATCTTTAAGATATAGGTATGTACTGTACCAATCACTCATTTAAAATATACAATTGAATGGTTCTTAATGTACACATAGAGTTGTGCAACAGTCATGATTAATTTTAGAGCATTTCATCAGCCACAAAAGAAATCCCGTACAACGTAGCTGTTCCCCCCACCTCCCTCAGTACTAACCAACTACTAATCTGCTTTCTGTCTCAATAGAGTACTTCATTCTGGACATTTCAGATGAGCATTTAATATGTAGTCTTCTGTATCTGGCTTGTTTTACTTAGCGTAGAGTTTCCAAGGTTCATCCATGTGTCAGTACTTCATTCCTTTTTATTGCCAAATAGCATTCCATTGTTTGGATATACCACATTTGATTTGTCCATTCATCAGTTGACAGACATTTGGGTACCATACTGTATTTGACTATTATAACTAATGTTGCTCTGAACATTCAAGTCCAAGTTTTTATGTAGACATATGTGTTCTTTTCTCTTCTGAATACAAAAGAGTGGATTGCTGGGTCCTATAGTAATTCTGTGTTTATATTTTGAGGAACTGCCAATTGTTTTCCATAGTATTTGCACCATTTTACATTCCCACCATCATGGATAGGGGTTCTGATTTCTCCATATCCTCACCATGTGCCGTGAATTTTTAAAACATCAAATGCAGAATTTCCCCCCAGTCTCTCACAAATAGAGAGGGATCAGAATATTGCCAATAGCTCAGTATTAACTTGTTTGATCAGAACTTTACTGGAATATTTATAATTTAAAACCAGTGACACTGAGAATTAAGAGTAATCCTTGGGGCCAGTGCCAAGAAAGTGGAGCAGCTGGGACTCCAACCAGCATGGGCTGCTCCACTTCTGATTCAGCTCCCTGCTAATGCACCTGGGAAAGTAGCGGAAGATGGCCCGGCCCGAGTGCTTGGGCTCTTGCACCCATTTAGGATACAAGTACCTGGGACTCTCCACCCACACGGAAGATCCAGATGAAGCTCCTGGCTCCTGGCTTTGGCCTGGCCCAGCCCTGGCTGTTACAGTCATTTGGGAAATGAACCACTAGACGAAAGATCTCTGTGTCTCTCCTTCTCTCTTTAACTCTGGCTTTCAAATAAATAAATAAATCTTAAAAAAAAAAAAAAAAAGAAGAAGAAGAAGAAGAAAAGAATCAAGAGTAGTTCTTGACTAGGACAAGTGCTCTGAGATGGTCACCCTCTCTAAGTCTGTGCTGATGGGGGCATAAATTGGTAGCATCTTTCCAAAACACACGTGACCAAAATATACCCAGAGCCTGAAACATTTTTATATCACTTGACCCACTAATTCACTTCTAGGAATCTAACCTAAAGAAATAAGAAATACCCATGATATGATCAAGGCATTTCCTTATAGGGATGTTCACCTAGTGTTATTTATAGTTGAAAAAATTTGGAAGTAACCTAAATTTCCAACATTTTGGGAACAGTTGGTCAAAGTACAATAGATACTAAATAAAATAAGTACATTAAAAATAATGGGTTTTTTATTTATTTTAATTTTTTTTTGACAGGCAGAGTGGACAGTGAGAGAGAGAGACAGAGAGAAAGGTCTTCCTTTTTGTTGTTGGTTCACCCTCCAATGGCCGCCATGGCCTGCGCGCTGTGGTCGGCGCACCGCGCTGATCCAAAGCCGGGAGCCAGGTGCTTCTCCTGGTCTCCCATGGGGTGCAGGGCCCAAGGACTTGGGCCATCCTCCACTGCACTCCCTGGCCATAGCAGAGAGCTGGCCTGGAAGGGGGGCAACCGGGACTGAATCCAGCGCCCCGACCGGGACTAGAACCCAGTGTGCCGGCGCCGCTAGGTGGAGGATTAGCCTATTGAGCCACGGCACCGGCCTAAAAATAATGTTTTAAAACAGGAAAGTATTTGGGAAAATATTCTCAAAGAACATTAAACAAAAAAGGCAATGCATAAACTGTATACATATATACAACATGATCATAAATTAAATATATGCATAAAATAACTAGAAGTAAATAGCATTATGGATAATTTTTATTTTCTACAAGGAACATAGACAACTGTTGATAAAGCAGTCAGTATAAAATATTGAGTAGGGGGACCAGCACTGTGGTACAGCAGGTTAAAGCCACCGCCTGCAGTGCCAGCATCCCACACAGGCACTAGTTTGAGTCCCAGCTGCTCCACTGCTAATGTGCCTCGGATCCAGACCCCTGCTAATGTGCCTGGGAAAGTATCAGAGGATGGTCCAAGTCCTTGGGCCCTCCCACCCACATGGGAGACCCGAAAGAAGATCCTGACTCCTGGCTTCAGATCAGCCCATCTCTGGCTGTTATGGCCATTTGGGGAGTGAACCAACAGATGGAGGACCTTTCTCTCTCTGTCTCTACTTCTCTCTGTAACTCTTTCAAATAAATAAAATAAATCTTTTTTTTAAATATAATATTCAGTAGTATAGAAAATTGCATTTTTAAAGCTACATGGACCCTTTCACATCATGAAAGAGTATTTAGTAATAACTTGGGGAGTGAAAGAGGAGTAGTACATTCCAAAGTACCTATGAACTCAGCATCAATAGCTTCCAATCTGGGAGCACCTTTTTTTGAATACACATTCATACATATATTTACCAAAATATTTCCCCCAATAAATTGTAAAGCTTTTGCTGAATAAGCACAAAGTCACCCAGTAACCCACATTAAAAGACTTACAGACATTTCAGTAGTGTCAGGCCTTTTGTTTGCAGTATAAAAGAGAACTTCAAAAAGCTCATGGAAAAAATAGAATTAAAATACAAGCTTGCGGTCAGTGCTGTAGCGTAGCTGGTAAAGCTGCTGCCTGCAGTGCTAGCATCCCATATGGACGCAGGTTCATATCCTGGCTGCTCCACTTCCGATCCAGGTCTCTGTAATGGCCTCGGAAAGCCGTGGAATATGGCCCAAGTCCTTGGGCCCCTGCACCCATGTGGGAGACCCGGAGAAAGCTCCTGGCTTCTGGCTTCAGATAGGCCCAGCTCTGGCTGTTGCGGCCATCTGGGGAGTGAAGCAGCGCATGAAAGACATCTCTCTCTCTCCGCCCATGCCTCTCTGTAACTCTGCCTTCGAGTAAATAAATAAATCTTTTTAAAAATATATATAAGCCTATTTTGCCTCAAAAAATCTTGAAATTCATATATAATTTTTATTTTGAAAAATGTATTTGTTTGAGTTACAGAGAGAGAAGGACAAAGAGAGAAAGAGAGGGAGAAAGAGATCTTCAATCCACTGGTTCATTCCCCAAGTGGCCGCAACAGCCAGGGCTGAGCCAGGCCGAAGCCAGTAGCAGGAACTTCATCTGGATCTTCCACATGGGTGTCAGAGGTCCGAGCACCTGGGCTATCTTCCACTCCCTTCCCAAGCCGTTAGTAAGGAGCTGAATCAGAAGTAGAGCAGCTGGTACTCTAAGTAGTTCTCACAGAGGATGTCTGCATCACAGACAATAGCTCTACCTGTTAGACCACAACACCAGTCCCTGCATAATTTCAAATGGTAACAATTTATTTGAAAGACAGACAATCAGACATAGAGAGGTAGCACCTGCTAGTTCACTACCCAAACACCTGATGACTGAAGCTAGGCCAGAACTAAGACCAGAAATCAGAAACACAGCCAGGTCTCCCACATGGGTGGCAGGAATCCAATTTTTTTGCCGTCACCACTACCTCCCAGGGTCTGCAGTAGCAGGAAGCTAGAGTCAGGAGCTAGAGCTAGGAATCAAACCCACTAGGCTAAATGCCCACTCCCATAGTTCTTTATAATACACATTTTCCATGAACTTTTAAAAAAATCCCTCACATTAATTGTAGCGTAATAGTTTTTCATAATGTTTGTCTTTGGAATTATCTAATAAATTTTCACTTTTCCTATTTGCTCACTAAGAATTCAGGAGAAAAAAAAAAAAGAATTCAGGAGAATGTAAAGGGTTTTTCAGTAAAAACAAAACCCATGATGTTGTTTTCTTGATGACAATGAAACCTAAATAAATCCTTGAGGTAGAATTCAGGCAGGAGAAACCAGTCACATTAGAATTACTTGACACAGCCTCTTTGGTTCCTGTAATTACTTATGACTCAGCTTCCTTAGGATGGAATATTGGAAAGGTTCTATCAGTTATTGGGACAGATCATTTTGGGGGCCAGCTTGCATGTCGTTGAATGGCATTCGAGTCTCTGATCATTTAAATTTGAACATTTCATAAGTTTTATTAATGAACATAAGTTTTATTAATGAATATAAGGAGATGTGTATTCTTATACCAAAAAAAAAAAAAAAAAAAAAAAAAAAAAACCAGACTGTAGAACTTTGTCCAGAGACTGATGGGCTCTCTTAAGAGTATCATTGTATTATTGACCTGAATTCTGATATCTGCATATCAATGTTAGGTTTTCTTTCTCTTCTAGCCATGGGATGTCTTACCCAATTTCAGGCTTAGTGAAGACATATAAAGCAAAGGATTATGATGTGGATCACCCACTGGTGGTAAAGACAAAAATAATATATTTTTAAATGAAATCTTAACATTCCTCAAAGTTTCCATAGATACATTGCTCAATTTGTGCCTGCTGGGAGTGCAGGGGGAAGCCACTTAATGCCTAGACTCCGCAGGGAGAAGACCAGCTCTGCCGTCGGTTTCTCCGCAGCCCCATGGCCTTTCTGTGGTGCTCACGTCCCCAGCGGTGTTCACTTTCACGGCCCAGATGTTTCCAGAGCGGCACCTGGAGGCGGCGGAAATTTTGGGTATGGACCCTTCCTCGTAAACCTGTGACCCACACAGGGGAGCTTTTCTTGGGGTTACTGCTGAAGAGAAACCATAAAGGCAATACCCAAAAATGCTGCTTTGGGACAGCTCAATAAATGAGAGTGACTTGCCTAGCGTCCCACTTAGAATGAAAGTGCTCTGATCTTATGCTGCTAAGAGTCTGCTAACAAGGAATCAGAACCAAACACTGATTCTGTTGAGTTTGTCGTAATACTGTTTCCTCTGTTTTCACCCACAAGGAGGGTAGAACTCTTTATGTACCATTAATGTTATATGCAGCTTTTGCTAGGTACAGTTTGATAATAAAAGGATTCTAAATTAGGAAGTGGAAGTAAATTCCCAATCATAGGAAATCTAAACTAGAAACTTCATGAAAGTATCCAAGAGAGTAATCTATTTGCCATACTGCAGAATACATAATGTCTATCGTTAGATACACATGATGCTTTTTGAATCTTACTGGACGTAAAATTGTATTCAGGAGAGCTTTGGTGGAAAGTAAAATTTTGAGGATTTACTGAAACAAGAACTCTTTTAGGTAGACATGAGTGTTGGATTAGCTTGCGAAATACCATATTCCCCTGCTTATGTGGAGGGTAGGAAGGGAAAGGCGAACAGAAACCCTCATTATGCTCCTAGCTCCAGCCGTTGGGGAGACGCTTCCCAGGCAGTGAGGACTGACCACAGACATGCCACTGGGCACTGCTCCCCTCTGCTGCCCTCTCACACACACATGCATGCGCGCGCGCACACACACACCACCACCACCAGCACCACCACCACCACCACCACCTATTGTGCTCCTGCCAGGGCCAGGTATGTGCTGGGAATGTTAATGACAGAAACCCAGGGCAGAGAGGCAGCCCCGGGGCTCTGAGTTTCCAGCGTGAGCTGTAGGAAAACAGTGCCCACTTGGCCAAGGATCTTATGTCCCTTTCCCTTTCTGGTTGTAGGTGTTGGGAGTCAGCTACTTTGCAAATATATGAACAGTGTGAACAGTGGGGAGCCCAAGCCATAAGCTAGATTTATGGTGATTGGGCAATCTTAGAGAACTTCAAGTTCACATTCCAGGCAATCTGCAACATGGCTGAAAATGCAATGCCTCTGATAGAATTCTGATGGAAGATACCCCCCCCCCTCTCCCTCTCTCTCTCTCTCCCTCTCCCCCCCCCCCGCCCCGTAACACTGCCTTTCAAATAAATAAATAAATCTGCAAAAATCCTGCCCTTACAGATCCTTACCACTTGGCAACTTCTCACCTCACTGTTAACATTCTTATCTACATTTAATGCACTTTGTTCTGAGAGTCTTCATGTTCTTGGTTCTGCTTGGTTGGTTCTGTACTACTTATTGAGAGGAACACACTGGCCCCTTTGCAAACAGAGTCCACAATAAAAAAAAAAGAAAGAAAAGAAAGAAAAAGGTTTATCGCTCTAGAGAGGAGCTATTTCTTTCCTTGGTCCCAAACAATCCATTTTTGTCATACTTCCTTTCTTCCCCTTGGCTGGTTAATGCTGTCCCTCTGGATCCCTGTCTCCCAAGGTGTTTGCAAAGGACTTGTCTGTTTTCTAGGCTGCTACTGTGAGAGAAGACGTTGAACATGTGTGCCTCTAGGTGTCAGCAAATTCCAGACCTTGAAAATCACACGGGCTGGGTCTTTCCAACAAGCGTCCATTCCTCCTCACCCCAACACCAGCCTTCTTTCTGTGCCCCTTTTCTTGGTTCTGCTGCTGAACATGTAGGAACTGGGAAGTCCCTGAGAAACCTGAGAGTCAGGTTAGCTGCGCCGGCCGACTTCTCTTACAGAGCGAGGCTCCCCGTGTGTCTCAGGCCGGCCATGCCTACGTGTCTTCTGTGGGTCTGACGCTAAGGTGCCCTCGCTCGTGGTGTTAGGGAGATGGCAGTGGTGCACGTTCTGTGTGCAGCTGACCCTGTGACTGAGCGACACCCAGACCCTGCTTCTTCCGCTGTCTCCACAGTCAGTGCTTTGTGTCTTCCAGGAGCGGACATCCGCAGTGCTAGGACCCAGGACGCGGGGCCCATGTTAGCAGACAGGCTCCGGAAATTCTTATTCGAGCTGGACGTGGATGATGGCCTAGCTGCTATTGGTTACTCCAAAGCCGATATCCCCGCTTTAGTGAAGGGAACACTGCCCCAGGTAAGAGACACGCGTACACCTCACCCCTGCGAAGAAGCCCAGTTTCCAGAAAGGCCTGCTCCATTCGGAAAGTGTTCGCGTGGATGAAGGCCCTGCGGTCCTCGGGCAGTTTTCAGGTCTCCTCAGCACCACACAGTCATTCTCCCCTTTCCCAGGGGGAAGGGCCCTGGGCCCCTGTGCCTTTATGTTCTTCCATAAAACTGTGGCTCCAGGGAAGACGTTTTCAGTACAGCTGAAAGGATCCTTTATGAGAATTCAGGGCAAAACTACCTGTTGATGTGGAGCTGTGGCAACATTTTCCTTTTTCCCCATTTCTGCTCTTTGCTGGGCCCCTGTAAAAACTACATGAAGCTGTTCCCAAGGGACCACTAATAGTATTTTCCATCAAAAATGGTTACAAATCCTACTGTTTTGTAAAGACTAGGTCTGGCCTTTAAATGAAACTATTACCAAAGTTGCTTTTACATGAATTTGGGAAATTGTATACTTTATGCATATCTGTGTCCCTTTGGGTCTTATTTGTTTAAATGACGCTAAAGAATGAAACAGAGCTGCCATATCTTCTATTCAGTCCAATTGTAATAGCTGTAAAGGTCCCTCTCCCAAGGTTTTCACAAAGAGCTCAACCCTCATTGGACTTTTCTTGAGCTAGCTCGTCAGGCCAAGACCCTGTTCGGTGCAATTCCCCGCAAAGGAGAGAGCTCAGAGCCACAAACACTTGGTTAGTGGGTCACTTCATGCTCGGCACGCCAAGCACTCCCTTAGCTGTAAGCAAGGTAAGTAAGGACCTCAAGCTAGTGTCTTCTGCCCTGTTCCATCAGCGGCTAGATGTTGACAACCTCGTTACTCATATAAGATAAGATATGTAGAGAGGCAGGCATTTGGCCTAGTAGGTAAGTTGCCACTTGGGGTGCCTTCATTCCATATTAGAGTGTCTGGGTTCAAGTCCTGGCTCTACTCCCAGTTCCAGCTTCCTGCTAATGTGTGCTGTGAAAGACAGCAAGTGACAGCTCAAGTGCTTGGGTCCTTGCCACCCACATGGGAGACTCCAATGGAGTTCCTGGTTCCTAGCTTCAGCCTGGCCTAGCCCCAGCCATTGTGAGCATATTGGGAGTGAACCAGTGGGTGGGGGATTTCACTGTGCCTCTATCTGTGTGTGTGCCTTTCAAATAAATAAATAAATTTTAAAAAGATAAGATTTCTCCATATTGGGTTCATAGACTCATATGTCCATAGGAACAAGGTAGGTAATGGCAATAGACACAGTAATGTAATTCAGTAAAGAGTTGTAAGCACTTTGGTGAACTGGAAATCATCTAATTGGGTGAGCAACTATTCAGCTACAATTTATTATCAGTGAGCTGAAATTCAGGGCCTGAAGTTGACAGAGCTTCCAGCTTTCAAGAAAAATCAGCTATCTTGATATTTATGTTGAATTCCCTGGTTTCCCAATGGAAAAACAAAACATGGACCATAAGCTACCAATTTAGATTTGGGCCCAGTGGGTTCAACTGCATCTGAGAATATAAAAGGATGAGAAATATAAAGGAATGGCTTCAAAATATAGCATAGTCCTTGAGCTAACTCATAAGTCCTTAGTTTTAAGCAGTAAGTCTGAGAAACTAAATAACCAAAAAAAAAAAAATGACTTTCTAATGCCATCACAATTATTGTATTCAAAATTATAAGTTCCATGAGGACAGGAATCTGTCTGCTTTGCTCATCCATCCTTTGTTGTACTGAACACAAACTTATTAAATGAACACAGACCTGCAGCCCTCTCCTGTATCCCCTGTCCAGATTTGCTTAATGGCAAAACAATAGTAAGTTTTTGAGACATCTCCTAAGACTGACTAGGATTCAACTGAAGACATGTGTGTCCAACGATATCATAAATTGCGTGATCACCATAATTTTAATGTAGCTTCTGGCTTTTATAGCATAGGCCCAGGGAACCTGCCCATTCTGCAAGGGGACCTCTGAAAAGCTCTACTGGTTTAGCCCTGGAAAGAGTTTTTGGAAATATGTTTGTTAACCTCCAAGAATGGTAGGCATGACTCTCAGATGAAAGTGTCTAATAGCTTGGCCACTTAATTGGTGGTAACAGTACAGCTCTCAGCCATCAGCACACACTAGCAAATGTTTACCATCTTTATTCTACTGTCCTTGGGCTTTTACTTTTTTTTTTTTTTTTTGGAGAGGCAGACAGACAGAAACTTCCCATAATCCATGTCTTCCACATAAGTGGCAGGGACCCAGTCAAGCCATCACCTGCTGCTTCCCAGCATGCTCATCAGCAGGAAGCTGGAATCAAACCAAAACTCCAACCCAGACACTTTGATATAGGGATCAGGCATCCAAAGCAGCATCCTAACCACTGTACCAAATGCCCATCCCCAGACTTTCACTTAAAGATTTATTTTATTTATTCAAGAGGCAGAGTTATAGACACAGAGAGGGAGAGAGAGAGAGAGAGAGAGAAAGGTCTTCCATCTGCTGGTCCACTCCCCAAATGGCCGCAATGGCAGAGCTGGGCCAACCTGAACCCAGGAGCCAGGAGCCTCCTCCAGGTCTCCCATGCACAGGTAGGGGCCCAAGCACTTGAGCCATCCTCCACAGCTTTCCCAGGCCATCAGCAGAGAGCTGGATCAGAATAGGAGCAGCCAGGACTTAAACTTGCACCCATATCGTATTCTGGTGCCATAGGCAGAGGCTTAGCCCACTATGCCACAGCACCAGCCTCCAACTTTCACTTTCAAAAGATATTCCAGGGACTGACACTGTGGCGCAGTGGGTTAAAGCCCTGGCCTGCAGTACCAGCATCCCATATGGGCACCGGTTCCAGTCCTGGCTACTCCACTTTGGATCCAGCTCTCTGCCATGGCCTGGAAAAGCAATAGAAGACGGCCCAAGTCCTTGGGTCCCTGCACCTTCCTGGGAGACCCGGATAAAAGCTCCTGGCTCCTGGCTTTGGAGCGGCACAGCTCCGCCCGTTACAGTCATTTGGGGAAGCGAACCAGCGAATGGAAGACCTCTCTGTCTCTCTGGCTCTACTTCTCTCTGTAACTCTTTTAAATAAATTTAAAAAAAAAAAAAAACCTATTCCAGACAGCAGTGGCTCCAGACCAGCATTTGAGAACATCCACTGAGTTAATTGGGAATCATTCTGGCTGCCTCCATGTAAATGTGATAATGAGAAATCTTAGAAGCAAAACCTTCAATAGACAAAATAAATTTATTGGCCGGCGCCACGGCTCACTAGGCTAATCCTCCGCCTGCGGCACTGGCACCCCGAGTTCTAGTCCCAGTTGGGGCGTTGGATTCTGTCCCGGTTGCTCCTCTTCCAGTCCAGCTCTCTGCTGTGGCCCAGGAAGGCAGTGGAGGATGGCCCAAGTGCTTGGGCCCTGCACCTGCATGGGAGACCAGGAGGAAGAACCTGGCTCCTGACTTCGGATTGGTGCAGCACGCTGGCTGTAGCAGCCATTTGGTGGGGTGAACGAAAGGAAGGAAGACCTTTCTCTCTGTCTCTCTCACTGTCTAACTCTGCCTGTCAAAATAATTTATTTAAATAAAAACAAAATAAATAAAATAAATTTATTATTTTCACAAAAGGTAGGAGGTAACTAGAATCTCTTGAATGTAAATCCTGTCTTAAAGTAGGAAACCAGGTTCTCCTCAAGCTGAGTTCACATTGCAGTCCCAAGGTGGATTCCGCCTGTTTTCCTTTGATTACATTTTCATGATTAGGAGAAACAGTTCATTTTAGTTAACTAACACTAATCCCGTTTTGAAGTCAATGTGATCAAAAATAACTTATCTACAAGTAATCAGATTCGCAGGACATTGGAGGGAATCTTAGAAATGAGCTTGTCCAGTCTGTGGATAAAGAACTGTGGAGTTTTGGTTTTGGGCTTTGGCAGCAGTGAGCATGGTACAGGGTTGCTATGGCAACATCAAATTTTTTATACAGGCAGTAGACTAATCTTCACTTATTAGTGTCTACAGGACTTAAGGTGGTGAGAAGGATATCCTGGTTCCTGCAAAGGACACTGCTAGAAAGGTTATTCCATGCGGTCAACATTTGATAAAGGTGCTTTTATGTTCAGCAATGAGCGATCGGTTTTCTCTGGAAGGAACAACCAGGCCAGTATTCTTGACCAAACAACCACAGCCCGTACTGGTGGCAGCAAATAGCAGCACTGTGTCCCAGGGCTTCCAACTGCCACGGCTGGCCTGCAAGGGGGGCGGGCACGGGTCAATTAATCATCCAAGCTGGATTTCTGAAATCTCTGGAAAGAAACATTTATGTTTCAAATCAAAACATTTCACTACTAAGGAGAGCTGTCGACCCAAATGAGCACTTCCACTCCCTGGTAGAAGGGCCAGCTGAAATGTTGTGATTTTATAAATACACTAAAAGTAGAAGTCTGGATTCATTTCAGTGCCCATGTTCATGAGTTGTTCAATCTTACATGTCTATAAATACTAGCACATTCCTTGACACAGCCTAACCCTGAAAGTTTAGCATTCTGCTAGCATAGCTGATATGTGTGAGACATGTCACAAACTCTACGTCCTTGCCATGTTTAAACAATCACTGGAGGCTAAAAATGTGAACGAGAAACTCAGCAGGATTTGATCTCAAGTACTTAAGAGAGTCCTGAGTGACGTCACCAAAGATAAGCAGGATCCTGTTTAAGGCCTTTGAGCCCCTCAGACAAGATACCCTGGTTAGAAACAGAACAACGGGGCACTCTTCTGTAGTCACAGCAAAGCTGAACTTCAGTTCTTTTTACATTTTTATAAAGATTGATTTTATTTTTATTTGAAAGAGTGAATAGACAGAGAGAGAAGGAGACCCCCAGAAAGAGAGCTATATTCCATCTGCTGGTTCACTCCCCAAACGGCCACAACACCTGAGGCTAGTCCAGGCAAAGACCAGGAGCCTGAAACTCATCCTAGTTTCCCATGTGGGTAGCAGGGGCCCAAGTACTTGGGCC